CCTGTGCTTGTCTGATAAAATGCGTCCCTGCAGAGATAACTTCATCGGGTTGTAGGGCACCTTCTCTCCGAAGAGCTACTGGTAAACGACAGTTCTCTATGAATCGGTTCACTAGCGCAGAAACTCTTGTGAGCTTACTCCAACTTGAGTATCTTCGTGGTTCTAATCGGTCTTCACTGCTTGAAGAAAGGAATGCTCTTTCCTCAGTACGTCTCTTCATCTGGTGCGACTTCCGCATCTCGACATCTAACACTCTCTTGGTTTCAATTTTGTTCTCTGGCCACTCAGAAGGGTCCTGCTTCAGGAAGGTGGGACCACTCCACCATTTGTCTTCTTCAGCAAGAGCGGAGACACTAAGCCCTCTTGTAAGTAAGTCAGACGGGTTCTGCTTAGTCGGCACAAATCTCCACTGCTCCGGATTTGTCGACGCCTCGATTTCCCCAACGAGATTAGCCACAAATGGTTTAAACTTTCGACTCTGACCTCGAATCCAGTGAAGTACATCCATGCTGTCAGACCAGAAGACCCATTTGCTCTTGTCAATGCAAAGCACCTGTCCTACGGTTTCTGCAAGTTTGAGTCCTACAACAGCCGCCATGAGTTCCAATCTTGGTATGCTAACGGCTTGGAGTGGTGCAACACGCGATTTTGATGCCACAAGGCGGGAAGAAACAGTTCCATCCTTGTAAAGGTGTCTAACATAACAGGCTGCACCATATGCTTCTTGGGATGAATCCACAAAAGTGTGCATGGTCATCTCTTCAATAGTAGTGGGATCTCTCAGGCATCGCGGAACCTTAAGGCTGTACAGTGCTGGCATTTTATTGAACCATTGTATTGCCTGCTGTGACAAGTTTTCACCAACGGGCTCATCCCAGTCCACACCACTCGCCCACATTTCTTGAAGCAGGATCTTGGCTCGGACAGTGTATGGTGTTAACAGGCCAAGAGGGTCAAACAATGTTGCTATCCCTTTCAAAAAGTTTCGTTTCGTTTTGTCACGTTTTTCAGCAGGCTGGTTCACTTGAAACTTAAACACATCCTTCACGGGGGACCAAAAGACTCCTAGGGTTTTGACTTGAGGTGACTTACCACGATCAAGATCAACTTCGGTGGCGCAGTCTGAAGATGGAATGCTCTGCAAGACTTCCAGCTTATTTGATAACCACTTCCTGGCATACATCCCAGCCGAGCCCCAGAGCTCTGACAATTGATTGTATAGTTAAATTGCAGTTTTTACATCAGGCACTATATTCATGGTATCATCCATGTTTGTACTTTTCAAGATGGTTTCGGCTGCCAGGGGAAAATCTGACTGATATCTCTTGGCATGTCCTAGGGAAACAAATTGGGCTCGGAAAGGAGATTAATTCACACCGAATACTACACGGTTAAATTAAAAAATGTCAGGTTCTTTGTCTATCTCCATATTCCGCCACAAGAAGCGATGATAAGGCTGATCTCTTGGCTGCAGTTTAATCTGTAAGTACATTTCTTTGATTTCGCACATTACAATCACTGGTTCACGGCGCAGTCGGAGTAGTACTGAAAAAAAGTCATTCTGTAGTCTAGGCCTTTGTAATACATTGTCATTCAGAGACACTCCATTACACTTCGAGGAGGCGTCAAATACTATGCGGGTTTTGGTCGTTGATTTATCAGGTCTTAGTACTGGGAAATGTGGCAGATACCAAACTTGATCTGGCTTCTTTTCCTCCTGTGGAACTTTGTGGATGTATCCTACTTCTTGATAGGTCTACAGCACTCTCTCGTAAGCTTAACTAAGCTCAGGGGACTTTTGTAACTTCTCAGTTTATCGCAGACGGTACAATGCAATGCTGTAATTGTCTGGCAATAGGCTTTTGCCACTCTTCCAAGGCATTCCAACAGTGTAATGACCGTCCACAAATTTTCAGTCGGTTGGCAACTGTGTCCCTGGCTAGCTTCTCATTTGGATTCACTATGTTAGTTTTTGAACTTGTAGGTTCATCAATGTCCCAGTACCGACGGACAAGGCTGTTCAGCTTATTTGAATCACTCAAGGAGAAGGTGAAGTTGGCATGGATTCTCTCTGCCTTGCCATCTGGGTTACTGATACAAGTCCACCCTAGTGGAGTAAGTCTAGCAATAGGTTCTCCAGATCGACCTTTCACATCTTTCAAAGGGTACAGCAGGTCTGCTTGGTCCACTCCGATTAACACGTCTACTGTTGTTCTGTGACCTACTTGAGGTAACTCAATGTTCTGCAAATGCTTCCACTTGGACTGATACCGTCTCCGGTCGACGACTTCCATGTTGCCCGTTACTCTCTCGGTCGTATAGGTTGACGCTTGTTTGGACACTTTTCCATTAAAAACAATTTAAATTTCACCACTGTTGTTTCAAATGTCTCCTGGTTGTCATTCAGAACATTTACTGTTAGCTCATGCGGACTTCCTTCAAGCCCAAGTTCTGCTCCGATGTCACTGTTCAAGTAGGTTCTGCTGCTGCAGTCATCCAAGAGCGCATTTACTTTGATCTTTCTTTTCCCACTAGCCAAGTAGACTGGGACAGTTCTCAATGCAACAAATTTGGTGCTGGGTGGGGGCTCTGCGCCAGTTGTGGTCGTGTGGGTCCTCTCGTTCGGCTTCCCTTCTCTAGCAGGCCCGTTTGTAACACTTGTTGGTGCATTCGGAGGGTCTTCTCTACTTTGCTCCTCTGTGCTCACCCTCGGCCCCGGATGTACATGAAGCATCCGATGATGGTGGGACCGACACCCATTTATTCCACAAGATTTGCTCCGGAAACATGACTCTCCACGATGGCCATTACTAAGACATCTATAACACAGTTTGTGCTCCGCTGCCACGTTCCATCTTTCATTCGCCGTCATCTTTTTGAGGTTTTCACACTTCCACAAACCATGTTGCTCTTTGCACTTCCTTGTAGGTTTCTTCTTAGAACTACGATCTTCTTTATTTAGGAAGGTTCGACTCTCTTGGTTCTATCTTTAAGAACACCTGCTATGATCTCCGAGGTTGTTGTCATGAACTCTCACTCCCTGCGAATGAACTCCCGTAATACATTCACGTCTTCGCTCTTTCTATTATCGCAAATCCACTGCTTGCATTTTGCAAGAAGATTCTTGTTGAACTTGCGATGGAGCGTGATGTAGAGTGATCCATTTCTAAGTTCTCCCTCTTGTTTAGCATCTATCAAGTTCACAACCAATGCATCCAGTAGTTCAGCAAACTTTTCAAGATCCTTTTTGCTCCCTTCTCTTAACTGTTTGAAGGCTTCTAACTCTTCGAGACGCAGTGTAAGAGCTCTACCTTCCCCACCATATTTCCGTTCTAGTCGGGACCTAGCGGCTTCATAGGCTGTCGTAGAATGACCGAGGTTCTCAATAACTCTGAGGGCTTCACCTTGGAGGCATTCACGCAATCTTAACAACTTGTATTGAGGTGCAGCCTTGACTTGGTCAACACACGAGCAAAAGGCTGCCTTCCAAGACGCACAATGCTTCTTATATCCAGCATATCTCGGAATGCTTACTCTTTTAAGTGCTGCTGAGGAATCAATACTGAGCTGGTCATTGGCAGAATTTAATAACTGGTCAGTGCCAGGGTACGACTGAGATTGGTGACGACTTGATAAAGGTTGGACTCCAGCGTGGGCCCCAGCTGCTGTTTCATACATATGATGAGAAGACACAATGGGTGGAAATACAGCGAATGATTGTACTGGTATAGTCTGAATGGAATTCACAAGTGTATTTAGAATTTATGTCACAGTCTTTTATAACCTTGATCCTGATGACCCGATGTTAGGTAGCGTACGAGGTTACCGAAGTTGCATCATTCTTCAACAATCAATAAATCAATACTTTATTTACCCACGTAGCGTCAAGGAGCTCATAGAGCTCGTTCAAAATACGTACGTGCCTCTAAGATTAAGAATCTAAAAAACCTAATACATACTCTCAAGACCTAATTGGTCGTATAACGTAGGCACCCCCTCTTAGGTTGTTGACAGATAAATGCTAATATCATTCGATGGATTTTTTCGCCCATTTTCATTGGCGGGAGCCGACCACGTGACCTACAGATATCTGCCTACAAGTGATGGTCTGCTCATGCGTACTACCGTCTAACTGCGTTTTTGCTGCAAATAATATTCTGCTCATGCGTAGTATTCCGAGATTATATCGACCAAAACAAACAAGGAAAACATCTGATTTCTGGCAGCAGTGCGCGCTTGCCGCTTTCCCCCCAAAAATTGAAAACAAACTCGGTGATCGAATGATAAAACAATTATTGAACTCGGTTATTGTAAATTATTAAAAACTGGATTATTGGATAATGCAATTCAAGACTTTTTATTGGCTTAGCCATTATGGTATATAAGCCAATATACCATAATCTACAAATATGGTAAGCGTACGCGTCAGCTTAAAATCAAAAGAGAGCTAAAAAATCAGCTTTT